GTTTGTCCGCACACAGCATTGCCATTTTAACCTCCGCATTTATGACCTGGTTAATGTTGTAAATGACCTGCAGACTGCAGGTGGCAGTTCTCACAAGGCTACTGACAGTTCAGTTTGGAGAGGCAGAGGAATTTTTTTTAAATGATATAATACAGGAAATTTACGGGAAAATACTAATACGGGAGGACGGCGGGAAAGAGGGGTAAAATACAGTAGTTTCCCGGCCAAAACGGGAGACTTGACAGCTGTGCATGACTCCTTCAAATTTCCTGTTCAAACCATTTATTTTGTGATGTGGCATAGCTTTCAATGATGAAATACAATTAAAATCTTTTCTATTCATGTTAGAATAACATTGAATTTGGATAAGCTGTGACTTCATGTCTTACAAAAATTTGCCTTGGTCCCTAATTTTGATTGCAACTGTATGTTGGTGAAACTTGGAAATGATCAGTTCATTCCATCTTGTACCCTGTTACGGCAAACGGCATACAAGACCTGATATCCTCCGCTTTGATCGTTGTGCCGCTGGAAAAGCTTTAAAGCTTTTATCTTTAAAGCTTCATGTAGGATAGTTGTCACTGATATATGATTCCAATATGTTTGATATATTCATGTTAGGATAACTGAATTTTGATAAGCAGTGACCTGTTAAACAAGTGTCACTTGTGCTGTAATTTTGATTGCAACTGAAATGCATAATTTAAGGTTGCTCAGTAGTGTGGTGCATTATATCCTTATCTATAAACAGATTTCTGTTATGGAAATCACTTTCAGAATTACATTGAAAGGAATATTCAATGGAGTATTACAGATTATTGTTGGATTAAGTAGTCAAATATTATTATTAAACTAAGAAATGAAAGAGTTTTCTGATTTGTTAGAGTTTATTGGTTCTGTGTCTGTTAGTGTAAGTTACTTCACCTGTGTCTTGTTGCTCTGTGTCCTTGTTAACTCTGCCTCACTGCATATTTTCTCTCTCAGCTTCCTCTGATATTCCCTGTTTCTTCTCATTCTCTCCTCCACTGATAGCTGCTGCCTAGCCATAACTTCCTAAAATACATAAAGTCAAAGTTGAGTGTAATGATTGGGGGGATGGGGGGGTTCTGGGAGGAATGTTGGATGACGTAAGCCAAATGAACATGGCATAATAGTGAATTGAGAGAGAGGGGGAAGGCACACCTCATCCCCCCAGGGTTGGATGATATGGAAGAAATATAGGGGGAATTACATTAATAAAAAATACAAAAGAGGTAAATGAAACATCATAGGTCATATGGACACCTTCTGGCCATGCTGTGCGAACGTCCAGACTGTGGTGTTTCTGTGTTGTGGGTTTAACATTCCTTTGGTGGCAGTGAGTTGAGAGCTCTGACTGCTAGAGGAAAGAAGTGCAAAATGCACTGTCATTTTGCAGTGTCTGGCAGTTACAGTTCTGATACAGACAGAAGGAGAGAGAACAGTGCATGTGAGGGGTGGGAAGTGTCGTTCACAATGCTGTTTGCACGATGGATGATGTGCTTTTCGTACAGGTGAGAGATGGCTGGGAGAGGAACCCCGATGATACTCTCTGCTGTCCTCTGTACGCAGACTCATCGTTATTGGTGATGAGACCTACTATTGTTGTGTCATCTGCAAACTCTATGATGTGATTTGAACTGTACTAAGCAGCACAGTCATGTGTCAGCAGAGTGAACAGCAGTGGGCTGAGCACACAGCCCTGAGGGAAGCCTGTGCTCAGTCTGAGAAGCCTGGAAGTGTTATATCCTATGGAGACAGACTGGGGCCTGTCAGTCAGGAAGTCCAGGATCCAATTACAGAGGCAGTGTTTATCCCTAGTAGGTCCAACTGTTTTACCAGCTATCTGCAGAATGACTGTGTTGAATGCTGAGCTGAAGTCAATGAACAGCATTCTGACATAAGTGTCCTTTTTGTCAAGGTGGGAGAGGGACAGGTGAAGAGCAGATGAAATGGCATCATCTGTGGAGCGGTCTGGGCGGTACGCAAACTGTCGCGGGTCCAGGTTCTGCAGGAGTTGTATTTTCATGTGCCTCAGTACCAGCCTCTCAAAGCACTTCATGATGATGGGCGTGAATCCAATGACGGGCCGGTAGTCGTTGAGGCAGGACACAGTAGACTTCTTTGGCACTGGGATGATTTTGGTGGTCTTGAGGCATGCTGGTACCACGGCTGAGCGCAGTGATGTATTGAAGCATAATGAATGCGGGTGAGGAGTGCAGAGCGAGGGGACCTCTGCTAAATATTGATCAGATCAATAAATGCAAACTTATGTTGACATAATGCAAGACATAATGCAAATAGATATTGTTATAATGCCTGCTAAACAATTTGGATGCACATACATGCACATCACATCCTTTTTTAAGAAACCAGGGCTGTATTTATATTTAAAAAATTGCATTATGAGCAATTAATGGCATGACAAATGACACTGACTACATAACTCTTTAATGCAAAAAAACATTGAGAGGGAGGTGAATGCACTGTTCTATGCCATTTCAGAGGTAATTTCTTTGAAGATTCCACATTATGAAGCAGGAGCGACAGCATTCTTATGAAATACGACACACTCGATCGTCAACATGAAGATCACTTGGTCAAACTAATGATCTGCAAGGTCAGGTCATGTGAGGTTGGGGAGCATGTGCTGATGGAGCGCGTTGCTGCACCCACCACACGGCGAAACTTCTCGGGATCCCGGCTGGCGACCCCCCAGGCAGACACATGGTCCTGAAAATCGCTATCCATTTGCCGCAGCTATTTGTAATGTGGGCGTACCCTCGGCCTGGTCCAGCTGCTTGGGTCCTCAGCAATGAGGATTCTGGGAGCCAGATTACCCTTAGTGTCATAACTGACGCAACCTCGCAATGCAGATAATGTGCCTCATATGGGACTCCTCTAGCAAACGCTCATTCAACCTGCAGTACCCAAGGATTCTCCAAAGAGACACAGTACCGATGGAGTCCAGTCTTCATCTCAGATCACTGGATAGCATCCATGTCTCACAGCCATACAGCAAGACAGGGAGCACCAGGACTTTAAAGACTTGGACCATCATCCTCTTTCAAAGATATCGGGAGCGCCACACACCCCTTTCCGGTGACCTCATGACCCCTCATGCTCTGCCAATCCGTCTGCTGACTTCATCGGAAGAGTCACTAGAGACATGAATGTCGCTGCCGAGGTAAATAAGTCTCTCGACAAGGTCGACATTCTCCCCGCAGACAGACTCACTACTGATGGCTGTGCCCAAGAAGTCATTAAATGCCTGGATCTTGGTCTTTATCCAGGACACCCGCAATCCCAGACACTCAGACTCCTCACTCAGTCTCTCGAGAGCCTCGATCAGAGCCTCCATTGACTCCGCTAAGATCACAGCATCTTCGGCAAACTCAAGATCAGTAAATCTTTCTTCACCAAGCTGCCCCACGCATGAGCCCCACAGCTGCTGGACCCCACGTCCCTGCCCAACACCCAGTCCATACAAGCATTGTACAGAGTAGGAGGAAGAACACACCCCTGGCAAAAAAAAGAAGCAGAATGTCATAAAGGAGACTGGACTGAAGAAACTCCTTTTTCTTCCCTCGTTGATAAGACTGAAAACAATGATTCCTCGCTGTGGCATTATAACGACTCCCAGATGGCTGCAAACTGAAATAAAATACATTTATAACTGCAACGTCATAGACTTGTCTTTGTCCTTACGTCAGTGTTATTATAATTTTGATTTTGTAATTTAGTTGTTATATTATTTACAATTTGAAATGCAATTTAGTTTTAGCTTTAGTGTGGTGTTAGTTTTTATTTTAAAGAGACATCTATTTAATGTTTTATGTATTTTAGTTTCAGTTTATGTTTTAGTCATTTTATTTCAAGGGGTAGATGGAGAGTTATAGGGTTTTGCCAGCTACTACTAAGTGTTGTGCCATTGGCTAATTTTATGGTGATTATAGGCTAATAATACAAATGCTACTACTGCTAATGCCAACTCCTACTGCTGCTAACACTATTACTGCTGCTGCTGCTTCCTTTGTTTCTTTTTCTCTGCATTCTGTAGCTCTCGCCCCTCAGTACAGTATTTATCCTCTGTCTCCTGTGGCCGCTTTCAGTTACAGTGGACAGTGACCCAGGGGATGCCCCACTGGAGGATCTGCAGTTGGATGCTATGGCCGTCGCTCTGGCCCCTGTTCCAGTTCCTTGCTCATGGTTGCCCAGCTGCAGGTTCCAGCTTCAGCCTCACATCTCCCGGACCTGGGGTGGCCACTGACATCATAAACGGTGGCGAAGAAGGTCAGGTATGCTCCCCATATCCTGGAAGGGATGTCGAGGCACAGACTGTGTTTGTACCCCCCAGATCCCTTCCGGTCGACTCAGTGACCCCTGCCGGTTCACCACAGGACTACAAGGCACCAGTGTTGCCAGCTCCTGCTGCCCCAAATCCATCCACATTGATAGTCTCACAACTCCACCCAGGTCCA